TCTATTATACAATTATGGTAGCATGACTTAATTTATGTTCCTTTAGTGGGGGGAATCTGAAATAAACATATTTATATGTTTTTGAAGCTTTTAAGATGGCTTATATATGTTGTGCGACTAAAGTGAGAGTTTTATAAAGCCTAATAGTGCTAATTTTGAAAACCATTTGTTCCCCAAATTACAGGTCATGTTTTATTTTTACACACAATAATTAATTTGTCTTTTATTCAAATGACAATGTGTGCTATTAACATTGTTGAATAGACATACGTGAAAGAGAATTCCCAAACTAACAGTCCATTCTCTTTAACTTTCAAAACCGGACAATTTTTGAAGTATATATTGTTTGTTTGGCAATATACTGTTAAACATAATGACCAGTTGTTCAGCGATAGTTTAGATTTATGATGGTGCTGAACAAGTGGCATCTAGGACTGGTTCTCATGCTTAAAACAATCACAGTACCTTCAACAGTCACAATTGCAATCCAGGTGTTCAGCAACCAGATTGCAGTGACAACATCACAGAATCCTGCAATCACATGATTGTCATTTGCAACCTTAACTGCCAGCTTTGAACAGGCAAAGTCAATGGGGAAGCCAACAGGAAGTCAAAAATGGTAACCCCGTGATGCTATGCTTAACAACAGTACAAGATTTATTCAACAACAGCAACCAGAAGTGCCAGAACTGTTATTATTACTCAGTGGTATGGTCATGTGACATTGTGTTTTATAGCTGTGCTGTTTAATTTCAGAAATTTTGGTCCCAAATGTTTTTATGTCAGGACTATCTCTATGCCTGTGCCTCACTTTAATCCTGTTCATTTTGGTTTTGCCCACTTTATATATACTGGTGCTTTGAAAGCTTTTCAGGAATGTAGATAGACACAATTAGAATAAAAAAATATTTTTTCATCAAACATATATTTTTGCTGAAAAATATTGTGGAATATCAAAGTCAATACTAGAAAATTTGCAGTGCTAGAGTAAGCATTAAAACAATCCTTCTCAGCCTAAACCAAATCAAAGCTAAAAGAAGTTAATCTCTCTGACATAATCTCTCACATATTAGATTTTCCAATGAATTTTTAAAATTTCCATTCTCTCATTGCTGGCCAATGTAGAGCTTCAATATCTTGAGGAAAAAATGTTCAGGAAAACAGCCACACTTTTTATCCTTTCAAAAAATCCATTAAAGACCGTCTTCTTCTATCTGAATTTTTGCGGCACTAACAGTTTATTTTTGATGTTCTAGCAATTTTAATTGTTTATATGTTGTTAGTGCCCTCTAGACTTCCCTATGGACAGAAGGACAAAGTCTAAAGCAAAGTAAGAAACACAATGACTATGGAGAATGCCCCCCTTAACGAGCAATAAGGAGCTAATATATAAAGCAAGTCAGCTGATTTCATTCTTCAAGGGCAGGAAACTGAACAAAAGCACAAACTAAACTAGCATGATTGAACAACTACTATGCCCCTATTCTATGCCCCTATTCCTCCTACACATTACCTCCTTACAACCAAAGGAGATAATGGTATAGCACTAAAGGTACGAAGCAGGAGCTGTTCACCTTTAATTAACAGGGTGAGGTCCAGTGGTGGGATTCAAATTTTTTATTACCAGTTCTGTGGGCTTGGTGGCCATGGCAGGGAAGGATACTATAAAATCTCCAGTCAGAGGTGGTATTGGCCAGTTCTCCGAACTACTCAAAATGTCCGCTACCGGTTCTCCAGAACTGGTCAGAACCTGCTGAATACCACCTCTGTTGAGGTCCTAGGAATCACGGTAAAAAGCTTTATTTCAAATTGGTTGGAGACATCGATAGCAGTACATAAAATTCTAGTTCTTGCAGCAGAACCCTGTCATAAGTAAATGTTTATTATAGACCACTTGGATACTAAAGATGTAAAGAGGAGCTAACATTTTTTTCCATTGGTCAAGTTAGGCTGAAAGTGCTCCCCTGTTGTCTCTGAGTGAAAATATGCACATTCCCATTCTATAAATGAAAAGTAACTTAGGATATAAAATCTACATCTGTCTAATTGCTTGAACTGTAGTATTCAGATCCATGGGGTAAAAAAAAAAACATGATAGTAAAAATTGCAGATATAAAACAACAACATTGCTTTAACGCTTGTAAATTGCTCTCCCCGTTCTTTCAGAAAATTCAGAAACTGCTATTGGACATAATAACCCATTGACATTCAGCCAATCCCCTAGAAACGTTTTAGAGCTTTTCTTTATGTTTTCTTCTGAAGAGAAAGCAGCACAATTCCTCAGACTATTGTTGAGGGGGGCAGCTGTTCCACAGTTCTATGAGAAAGATCCATTTTTTAAAAAGAGTAAGAATCTGAAAATGCGGAGTGAAGTCAACAGGCCACAAATGACATAATGCGGGTGAAAGCAAAACTGACAATCCACTAAGCTATATACTGTACAGGGCTGATTTAAAGGAATGTTGCAGGATATATTTAAATAAGGTGCCTCTGAGATACATTCCAGCTCAGTTCTAAGAGTCCCCTGAGAGTTAAACGATTCTCCTTAGCATGTCGTCTTGTAGTCCTGGTTTTCAGATCCAAGAAAATGAGATGGGAGAACATACTGAATCATTTTTGACTGTATTATTTGTGTATTTTGTATACAAATATTTGTAAATATATTTACAAAATATATTTGTATATATTGTATATTTTGACTGTATATTTCTAATGTTATCATCATCAGAAACAGCTACGACACATTGCAGTAGCTGGAGAGACGGGTCAAAGAGAAACAACTAGAAGAAATAGGGAAGTATAAATACCTTCAAAGAGAGATCGAGAGTGTGTGGATACTAATAATGTTTTATTTATAACTAGTTAACTCTTTTTCTTCTATTCTTGAGCTGTGCGGTTGCAGTAGTTAGAATGCAGTATGTAGGCTAACTCACTGCTCACTCCAGGAATTCTATTCTGAGCGGCTCAGGATTGACTCAGCCTTCTAACCTTCCAAGCTCAATAAAATGAGGACCCAGATTGTTGGGGGCAATATGCTAACTCTGTAAAAAGTGCTTATAGAGGGTTATAAAGCACTATGAAGCTGTGTATAAGTCTATGTGCTATTGATATTGTTTAAAGCAGTTTTCCTGAAAGTGCCAGATCCACTTTTTTCAGATCAGCCAAGTATTGATCCATTGGCTGCGAATCCATTGGCTGCAATAGGAATTGTCACGCCCGTTGGAATCTGATTCCGAGGGGGAGGCCGAGCAGGTGACAAGGAGTGGGAGTGTGGCTCCAGTGGCTGTGGACAAAGGGCAAAGTCCGGCTGGGCAGAGCAGGGGAAAAGTAGAGCAAGGCAGAGGGAATTCAGAGGAAGATCCAGGCCCACCTCCCTCTTCATTCTGCAGGGAGGAACAGAGAAGGAAGCAATGTGAGTTGTGTGGCTTATAGGGGAGGAAAGGGCCCTGATTCCCTTCATTAGCTGCAGCTGGTAACACAGTGTTTAAAAAAGGAGTTTGCACACAGCAACTTGTGGGAAGCAAATCGTGAGTTATCTTTTATGGTTGAGGCTTATCTGGGTTCCTGACGTCTTCCCAACTGTGTGTGCTTTGTTGGTATTTGAAGTCTGTCCAGTTAATTGCTGCAGCATGGTTTGTGTGGATTTTTATTTACAGTTTATATGTACTTTGTTTTCGGACTGAATTTCCTTCATTTAAAGACTGTTCTTGGGAGAGTTTTTTCTCCAGCCGAAGGTAACTGGACATTGGGGGCAAAGTTGGAGTATTAAAGGGACTTTTCTTACTTATGTGACTGTGTTGCCTTTGTACCACGTCCCGGGACATCACAGGAATTGACTAATCAGCTGATCACCTAATCCAGAGACTGCAGGGTGAGAGTGACTGGCCCAAAATCTCATTAAATATTATCTTAACTATTGTGTGTATGTAATAATGCTTTATCATAACTATTCCTTAATGAGCTAATGTTCTATTTTCTTTAGTTGATAAATACAAATTTGATTTTCCCCATTTGTTCTACATATGAGGACCCTGGTTCCTGATTATTAAATGAACAAACATGGATAATTCTTTTCCAATGGCCCACTGACCCTATTAATTTTCCTTCATTTCTTTTCATCAAGGTGGAAAGAAAAAATCTTAGCTGACTTCAGTTACTGGGGCCCTTCTGCCTACTCTATGCTGCCCCTTCATTCAGAGAAAGTTAAAGCCAAAATCCATGGAAGACGGTTGGACATTACAAAGCAGATAGATCCAAATATTACAATCAACTTGGGTTTGGAGAATATTTATGCCTACAGATTACTTATTCAAACCTGTTTGCTCAGGACACTATACAATCTTTTCTTTGCTTCAATGCCTTACCCATGGCAGTATTCAATGGGAGATACAGTGACACTAAGAGAACCTTATCCTTTCTCTGTCAATTTATAAGCAGACATAATTCTACTATTTTTTAACAAAGGGTACATCTTTTATGTGGGATTTCCATAAAAAGGATAAGGTATCTTGGAGTGATGACATTACAAACTCTACTCACTCTTTTATTGTATTTCTATTTTTATTCCGTTTCCATTTTACCTTATGTTTTATATTGTTTTATTGTATTTTAATTTATGTTTTTTCCTGACACAGGATTTAGATTTTTAGATTTTATATACCCGTTACACTGTAATTGATCATTGCCTCTAAGGGTTTTTTTTTCTTTTTCTTTTGGTTGTTAGCCACTGTTAAATAAATGTGGTACTTACTTGTCTTAACAGGTCCTGAAACCTAAATTCTCTGAAGAAATGAAAATCTCTTAGATATATATGTAAACAAAATGAATAAACAAAAGAAACTGACTCCATATCACAGAAATAAACTATAAATCTTACTTAAATATAGAGTGAATTCAGAAGAACAAAATGAAATGAAAGAATCCCATGTCCATACATTGTATTTTCAGTGAAACTTTGCAAGACTAAATGGACATATTTATAAAAATTCAAGATACAACAGTAACAAATTATAAAACTTTATTACTCTGTTAAAAATAAGTTTAGAAAATTAGAAAATTCAGTAAGTACAATCTGCTCTTATTATCAAGAGTATATTTTGAAATAAAATAAGTGATTGTCAATTATATACAAGAGATAGAAAAAAAAACTTTAAAACTGAGTATGATAAGAGTATTTAAAATTCTATAGATGATTAATGGATTACAGCAGTGCTTATTATCCCAACACAAATAGAAAATTGGATGTGAACAATGATCATAATTGATAATAATTATATTGAACTTGTGTTATGCTTTAATTAGGCTGTAAACAATTATTGGTCATGAACCATGGCATTTGAATCTTTCTTAATAAAAGGACGAGTAAAACATAGGATAAATCCTATTGACCTTACTAGTATATGAATGCACAACAAGCTCTTTTTATTTTCTACCAAAATAAAATCCTACCAAAATGCAGCAAAAATTTGCTCATGGATATCAGCTATTTACATAATTTCCTTACAGGACTTCCAAGGTATAGGAATTATTTGCAATGTCTTCCAATGAACAGGTGGAAATACTTATCCATAGCAATGATGAAATCAGTGACACATGTCTAAGTTTTGTCAATCTATTAAAAATTTAAATTAGAAAAATTATTTTTAGGGATATAGTTATAAATATATTTTCTCATATTGAAAATGACATTTATGAGCATTTGGGTTGTTCTCCTTTTGCAAAAATAGATTACATAAAATTTGCAAAATTTATATGGACTTGAATTCTATTAAAAATAAAATGATCATAATTTTAAATTCTCAATTTTCTAAAGTATCATTATTTTGTTTGTAAAAAGGAAAATTATTATATCAACACCCCAACACTAAAATTGATTCAAAGCCCGTGTTAGCTGAACAATCATTAGTTATATAGCTTGGGAAATCAAAATTGCACTTGAATTTGGTCAAGTGTCAGCAAATAAAATTTCCTTTCAAACGATGAGCTTTTATATTAATTGTATTACAGAAAAATAGCACAATCTGTAATTAAGTATGCCATCATAACTAGATCAAAGGATTTCACTTTTCTTAATAGTTCTGTGCCATGTCAGCACAACTTTCCAAATAGTTAAATGACAAAGGATGCAAAGCAGTTGACTATATGAAATTATTTGTGGAAGGAATTATTTTACTTTTTAAACAAGATGATGTTATAGCATTAAAAATGGGTTAGCAATGCACTTTGTTGCTTGTCCCAGTGGAAGCATCTGGGCATAAGGATTCCCATGAGGCTCAGTTCAACTGATTTCATCATAAATCACAGCATAATTCCCTGCCCTCACCCCCAGTGTGTGTGTGTGTGTGTGTGTGTGTGTGTGTGTGTGTGTGTAAGTAAACCAACCCTTGTTCTTCTAAATGACAATGTTGGCTATAAAATCCAATGTAAACACTAGGGGCAAAGCTTTATAAATGCATAAAAAGTACAAAACAATTTTTAAATAATCCATTAGCATTTTTTATTGCATAGTAAAGTAGAAAAGGCCATTTTAACTTTGAATGCTGAGCACTCAAGTGTCTAACAAACTTAATGGATTCTGGCTGATTTCTTAGTATGACTGTCACTATAGTTTATAAGGATCATTAATTTTATAATTAACCATGATATTTGTAAAGCAATATTGTTTGGGCAGATTAAAACCTCTCTAGTGATAGACAAGAATAATTTATTATTCATTCATTTATCAATGAAATAAATAGTGCAATTTTCAGCTCAAAGATCTGGTTTGAATCAGATGTATTTGTTCCTCTATTGGAAAGGAAATTAACTAACAATGCTAGCCTCGTGCATTATTTAAGATGGCTTGGTTGTTGCCAAAACAAAAGTAACAAATAAAACTCTGTGAAAAATTACAATGAAAACAATATATTTGGTGGCAAACTTTGTATACATTTGGTATACAAAAGCATCCAAAAATGTACTCAGCATATATAAATTTATGGTTCAAAAAAAATTATATTTTATTAAAACAAATGCCTCAATTACATAGATCCAAAATATTCTGTCAGTACATGTAGACTTATCCAAAAACCAGACTTGAGGCTATAAAGTTGAGCTTCAAAATATTATAAGAATAAAGTATTGAAAGATTACAGGAGAAATAAATGTATTATGCAGCTAAATGTTCATCTGGAACCTTGTTTACCTTGGGAGAATTAAATTTTGTGACTGACTAGAAGTTGGGAAATCTAAACTGGGGTTTAGTCTTCAACTATTGATTCTACTCAGATGAACTACACTGTAGTTCAGTGTCAGACTGGAGTGTCAAACTGGCAGCCCATGGGCTAGATGCATCACCCTCGAGCCATGCCCACTCCAGCCCTGCAAAGGGAAAAAAACATTGTGAAACATCACATGACTGCAACGTGACGCCACAAGTTTGACACCCATGAACTACAATCTGGATCTTGGACAAGGCTGAAATCAGTTAAAAGTATCATTAGCTCTGTCAGCCATTCTATTATTTAATAATAACATTTTTAAAATTAGGTAGCTGTTAATATTGATAGATTCTTTTTCTGAGAGAAACTAAACAAGCCAATTTGGAAATATAAAAACTGGAGGAGGGGTGAAACAAGAGGAACTCTTAGTAGAAAATTTCATTTCATTTGTATCAAGATGCTCCAAAGGTGCATGTAATAGAATTAAAATGGAAACAAGAAATGTAAACATCTTTTCTTCCTTAAAGATAATCAAACTTCTTGGGTTACAGTAGTAGAAACTACCTTTTTCATAACTTTTACAAGGGTAGCATGATAAATGTTTCACTTTCAAGAATAACAGAATTTAAGATTATCTCAATATTACATAGCTATTTTCTTTCCTACCATACTTAAGAAATTATGATAAATATGAAGGGGGAGAAAATTAAGAAGGCTTGATTAGAGCTCCAAATAATATAGCAGATATTAGGGGATATTAGGGGAGCAATTGTAACACTTTCTGTTGGATTACAGAACATCGTGTGTGCTAAGATTATCTGAACTATATACATTGAAGGATAGCAATTCAGTAAATTTAATGGAGATGTAATGGAAGAGACCAAATTAACATTAGTACTTGCTTTTATAAGGTTTCTTTGCTAACATAGATGTTTAACATGGAAAGAAATCAGTTTTAGAACATGTCAATGCACATAGTCAAACAATACTAAGATACACATTAATTAAATTTATAGATATTTTTACTGCTTACATTCTCTTCAGATGATCTCCTCCATACTACTCCTACTCCATACTCTATACCACTACTCCATGCATACTCCATTTTACACCATATATACCACTGACATGGAGAAGCTGTGCAGAACTATTTTTAATACACATTTAGGGCCTGCCAACTCACCGAAGGACAAGTTTAAATAAGCAATTACTCTACTAAGATCAATGATTTATTCTAAGGGCTAAAAATTAACATTCTGCAGAATAATATAAAATATTTTTTATTTACTCCTTTTAGTACTCAAAATATTTGCAGTTCACATTTAATAAATAGCTATGAAATTAATTCTCTTTGTAGCTAAATTCAAATAATAAAATCAAACTGGCAAAATGTGTTGAAATGTTGCTTTGTGAAGAAGATAATTGTTAATATAACATAATTGTTCATGTTTCTGCTTTGTTGATTTTTATAGCTGCCTAGGGCTGAATTTGTGGTGAAGCTGCCAAAATTTTGCATACTTCCAGGTCCTTCAAATATAACCCAACTCTACCAGACAGGTCCAAGGAGTGTAGCAATTGACAATACAATAAACTGCCTAATGTGCAGCACAGAAGTTCAAAAAAACCCTCTTTTTTCTTTATTTCATTTATTCATCCAGTGGAATCTTATGAAACAAAACAGAACCTAAAAGAAACAAAACAAACACATGAGAAATAATGCCTATAATGATTAACAAAAATTAACACAAAGATCAAAACACAAATTATTAAAAATCAAATAAACCTGAAATGCATTTATATACCATATGTCAAAAACACAAATTAAAAAATGCACATGTAATTTAATAAAATGTAATAGGACTTACATGTATGGTTTACTTTACAAATAAAATAACATGCACAACTGAATCTGCTACATTTAAGCAAAAGCAGCCCCAATTTGCTTACATGCTCAGTACATTGGTAAAGAAAGGAGTGGATTTTATGTTGGTACTAGAATGTAAACAATTATTATGTAGAAAAGCTCAAGTATTATGAAACTTGGGCAGAACATCCCCATGTATTAGAAGAAACCATTCACTTAAAGTTTTTAGTAAGATAAATGAAACCCATTTGTCCTGAGGAAATGTAAGAACACTGTTTACAAAAAAAGTTCCTGTCTAACTGGATTCCCATATATTCTTTAAGTTTATGAGACATCCTGCTTCAGTTCACAGTGGCTAAACCCCTATTTGAAGCCATCCCATTTAAAGGATATTTGTCCAATTCATATCTAGAATAAAGAACCATATGGAGAGCAGGAACCCTTTTGAAAAGGAGCATCAAGAAGTAAACCGAGCAGGAATCACAGACTATCTAATCCAAGGCTTTTTCACCATGGCATTTATTTTATTTCTACTTACACATTATACTTAACCTTTCCACTTACATTACACTTAACCTTTCTAATTGTGCAGACATATTTACAAAGTTGCATTCCATATGCAATTTTTGTGCAAATCTTTGTGTTTTTTTGTGGGCCACAATTCTTCCTTTTGGGCAACATGACAAACCTGACAGCCAATTGATTTAGTGGTTAAGGCACCAGCCAAGAAACAGGAGACTGGGAGTTCTAGTCCTGCCTTAGGCATGAAAGCCGGACTGGGTGACTTTGGGCTTTCTCATTCTCTCTTAGCCCAACTACCTCACAGGATTGCTGTTTTGGGGAAAACAAGAGGAGGAAAGAGCATTAGGAATTAGGTATATTATAAAAATAATAAAGGCAGGATAAAAAAAATCTTAAAAAACCATTATTAACTTTCTTGTTCTATTTTTCCACTGAAAAATTCCAGTACAAAATATGTAAGGCAATATTTGTTCTGCCGTTGTAATAGCAGAGTACCATTCTGATCTCAGAGCTTTAAACTAGCATCAGTTTTCTCCTCAGCATTTTAGCTGCCAAAGTTCTTTAACAACTTATAAACATGTATATTTTTGCAGTACTTTTGCGATTTCTAACACAGAAAGATTCCGTGTAGAAAATTTCTCTCAACTGAAGTTGTCACAGAGTCTGTTTGTTGTTTGTCTTCCCATTTATCACACTATGTGTATCAATAAAAAAATTGGCATGTATAATGTGATAAAGAGCAATTACCTCATTTGAATTCCATCTGATTGCTAATTAAATACCTGAGGCAGCCAGATTATTTTCTGCTTCACTGTAGGTAACAGATTATGTGCAAACCAAACAAGCTTACTAGATGTGATTTCATGTTTCTAATAGGGCTTGTCTAAATTCCTTTTTATTGAAACATTCACTATTACATGCCACAAAAAGCCAAGAAAAACAGATAGAATAAAAGGGATTTGGCTAAATCACACACAGAAATTATAATCTTAAAGCAAGTGCAATAAATTACGACTGCCAGGATTCTGTAGTCAGCTGTTTCAAGGAATAGGCTTTAGGATATTAAAAATATTAATTTTATAGGGTAATACTTGTTGCAATGTCAGCTGCTTCTGAATACCACATTCATTCTATGTTAATACTCCACAGTGAAATAATATTACTGGCACTGTTAACCTTCTCAGCAAACTATTTATATCTTGCCCAGGTATGAATAGATATGCTTCAGCACACTGTAGTATAGCAGCACTTTGGTAGCACTTTGAAGATCTAAAGAAGTCAGTGTAAACTCATTGATTAATTAATCCTGTATAGGGAAGTTTATCATCTAGTGGGAAACTAAACAACAAAACAATGAGTCACCCTGAAGCAAAAAGTGTTTTTTTTCCCCACTGTAAAAAGTAGCATCCTCAGCCAGATACCTTTGAGGTATTTTAGAATACCACCATTCTTGTTAGAAATACAATGAATGTTGTAATGGATTTCATCTCAAATAAATAAAGTTAGGGGAGACCACACGAGGCTAATTCCAAGTATGTGTTATCTGTACTTGTGTGTGTATATATTATTCAATGCTGATTTCCACTAGAACTATTTAAAAATATAAATATAAACTTTGCTTTCACATTTGACCATTACATGAGTAATGATTTATTGAGAGGTTTGTTTTAATTGCTACAAATTAAAAGAAGGAAAAGAGGGAGAGAACTGGAGAAGAAAGAAATGCAGCGATATTCCTCCCAGAAAGAAAATGTATCCAATTGTTCAGAACTGGGCAAAAACAAGCAACTGACTCTTCATTTGCTATTTGGAACTATGAGATAATTTTAGGCAGTAGTGTTGCTTAGTGTTACTTTCTAATTTGTACATGATTTTACTTCTTTAATTTACTTGGGGAAAAAGCATGTTTACTTGTTTCTGAAAACCATTTTCTAGGCAAGAACGTATTAACATTCTGTGTCATCAGCAAAATACACCATGACAATAGATAACTTGGAAAATCTTTTATACAGAATTTTATGAAGAACCACAGTTGGAGCTAATATGTCAATAACTTACAATGAAAATACTCAAACTCTACTATTTTATATGGTTCATAACATACATTCAAATTTTATTTCTCAGTAACTGCTTAATAATATTAAAATATTTCAGCCATTTGAAAATGTTTTTTTAATTTCTGACAGTATTTCTAAAATTATCACAGTTGTTTTTAAAAGCACTTTTTTTTCTTAACTGCATGTATTTTGTAATCACAGAGCTCATCTAGATACCAGAGGCAAATTCTTAAGTTGGCACTTTCTTTTTATAGCTGGTTGCTAGCCTCCACTAAACTTAGGAATGACAGGAAAGAACAGGGGGGGGGGGGGGAGAGAATATTTTAAAAACTCTGGATTATTCGCTTATCTCACACGGATAGTCAGGCCTAAATAACAGGTGTAAATTTAATATGGAGCCTTTGCTGAGTAACTTTAGACAATTCCTAATGACTAGCCTGCTTTTTTGCAAATGTTTAATCAATGCACAGGGAGGTTAAGCGAATCATTGAGCAAGATCACATATCCTTTAGTGGATGAAGTAAACTGCAGTCCTGGCTCCTTTTCAGCTTTCCTTGAACTTCTGCAAACATATAGTTAGAGTAATAGATGCAACCTATTATTCTTCAATAGTATCATACTGCTGGACACTTAAAAATCTTTCTCAACACTCTTGCATGCTGATATATATGAAAGAATATAGTTAACATAAAAAGGAATTACTGATGCAGTTACCCTGGTATTCCTTATACATGTTTATTTGTTTGGGATTTTATGGTTTTAACTGCATACTGAATTCCTATTGTGTTGTTCAATAAATCTGCAAAGTAAATAAATATAGAGTGAATAGAGTTAAAGCTATATTTATGTACATTTCCAAAAAAAATCTCCCTTCTAGTCACGGGACTTGATTTTTTATATTATAACTGCAGCAGGATTATTGTATGCCTAAAGACGGAAAGATGTGGCAATACCCACAATTACAGAGTGATTGGTGAAGATGATGGCATTTTCTGAGCTGGCCAAATTTACTTCTTTGATTACAGAAAAGAAAATATCTGACTGGAAACTCTTTACGGACTTTTTGTATAAAAGAAAACATGAACTTATTTATGATTTAAGAAATTGACAATTACTTAGGATGGATTATAGAAAGAAGAAAGTTATGTAGTAATTTTAGAAAAAAGGGTACAGTTAAAATTGTGCTTATAACTGCTGTAAACAAGAATGGAAATCACTTCTTTTTCTATTTTTTCTTTATTTTACTTTTTTCCTTTCTTGTACTTATAGCTTCCTTTTTATATCTTTCATTTTCTTTTTTCTTCCTTGCTTTGCATTCATCTGTATTAATTTTTATCTTTCACTGAGATGTGCTTCAGACAGCTGCTCCTTGAAAGGAGACCATGGGACAGTGATTTTCATTGGTCTGAGTACCTGGGTCAGTAGGATTAGCCATCTTGCTTGCAGCCACAGGGGATACTAAGCCTTTTAAAAGGACACTAAGTTTGCAAACCTTACTTTCTAATCACTTGTGGAATTTACCCAATAATTAATTTTAAGTTATCAGAGACCTTCAGAATGACAAGCTGGAAAGTGCCAGGTGAGTCTGCTGCCTTCAATCATGAATGAAAGAAAGCTTAGAATTTAAAGAATCTGAACTGAATAGAAAAAAGCTAAATAAGATTTTTGATCTTAGAAACATATAAACAGATAGTCTGCATAAAATTAGAATATTAAAATATATTTCCAGGGAAAAGATGGAAAATATATACAATGGAATTAAAGTATGTGACATACATAAAATAGAATTACGCATGTCAATAAATAAATGTTGTAGACTGGCTTTCTTTGTGTTCGTAGCAATATGAAAGAATGTAGTGGCACGTGACTCCCAATTTAGGTATGATGCAAATTAGTTCTTAAACTATGTAATAGTATGCATATTTGATGGATAGCAGTCCTTGAGAAGCTGAACAATAAAGTGATAAGTAGGGTTACCCCACCCCCCACCATGAATCAAAATTAGCTGTCAGAAGCTGACATTTACTTTTTAGAGGAAGTTGGTTTTGAAGGCTACATTTGAAATACATAGGCTAACGTCCAAGTTGCTTATTAGGGAATTAAACAAATTACCTTCTCATAACACCAAGTTTAAATATTTATTATTTATTTATATCCTGCCTTTATTGTTTTTGTAAATAATTCAAGAAGGCAAAATATATCTAATACTCCTTATCTCCTCCTATTTTCGCCACGATAACA